GACACGCAACGCGACACGCGACGCGGCACGCAGACAGAGATTCTGAAGTGACGGCTGAGATTCTGAAGTGACGGCTGAGATTCTGAAGTGACGGGTGAGATTCTGAAGTGCCGGGTGAGATTCTGAAGTGACGGGTGAGATTCTGAAGTGCCGGGTGAGATTCTGAAGTGACGGGTGAGATTCTGAAGTGACGGCTGAGATTCTGAAGTGACGGGTGAGATTCTGAAGTGACGGCTGAGATTCTGAAGTGACGGGTGAGATTCTGAAGTGACGGCTGAGATTCTGAAGTGACGGGTGAGATTCTGGAAGTGACGGCTGAGATTCTGAAGTGACGGGTGAGATTCTGAAGTGACGGCTGAGATTCTGAAGTGACGGGTAAGATTCTGAAGTGACGGCTGAGATTCTGAAGTGACGGGTGAGATTCTGAAGTGACGGCTGAGATTCTGAAGTGACGGGTGAGATTCTGGAAGTGACGGCTGAGATTCTGAAGTGACGGGTGAGATTCTGAAGTGACGGGTGAGATTCTGAAGTGACGGGTGAGATTCTGAAGTGACGGCTGAGATTCTGAAGTGACGGGTGAGATTCTGAAGTGCCGGCTGAGATTCTGAAGTGACGGCTGAGATTCTGAAGTGACGGCTGAGATTCTGAAGTGACGGCTGAGATTCTGAAGTGACGGGTGAGATTCTGAAGTGACGGGTGAGATTCTGAAGTGACGGCTGAGATTCTGAAGTGACGGGTGAGATTCTGAAGTGACGGCTGAGATTCTGAAGTGACGGGTGAGATTCTGAAGTGCCGGCTGAGATTCTGAAGTGACGGGTGAGATTCTGAAGTGACGGCTGAGATTCTGAAGTGACGGCTGAGATTCTGAAGTGACGGGTGAGATTCTGAAGTGACGGGTGAGATTCTTAGTTAGAGGTGTAAAACTGGTTGGCTTGCTGCGGACATCGCGCTTCCAATTCAATATTTTTATCTACACGAAACGGTCAAAAGGTGGTGGGGGGCTTGGTCTCTCATTTCTCTCTCTCTCCCCGTCTGGCTCCTGGGGGACGTATTTATGGAGGGCATGTGTGGGGGTGGTGGCTTCTGGAAAATATTCGTTAATGGATTTATGTTTGGTGAACGCGGGACGGTCGAACGCCCTTTGCACCGGAAAGGCGCCTTTTGGCTGTTCAATGACCAGATCCAAGTTGTAAATATGTGTAGAAGTAAACGGCATTCAGTGCCACCCGCCAACTCCACTAAACGCATTTTTCTCTTACTTAGTCAGCATAAAGTGCTACCCGCCAAATCACAAAATCATTCACCGACTATAGACTTGGATCTGGTCATTGAACAGCCAAAAGGCGCCTTTCCGGTGCAAAGGGCGTTCGACCGTCCCGCGTTCACCAAACATAAATCCATTAACGAATATTTTCCAGAAGCCACCACCCCCACACATGCCCTCCATAAATACGTCCCCCAGGAGCCAGACGGAGAGGGATGAGAGACTAAGCCCCCACCACCTTTTGACCGTTTCGTGTAGATAAAAATATTGAATTGGAAGCGCGATGTCAGCAGCAAGCCAACCAGTTTTACACCTCTAACTAATCCAATTACACTAGCCCAACCACAAACTTTTCTGTGTGTGTGTGTGTGTGTGTGTGTGTGTGTGTGTGTGTGTGTGTGTGTGTGTGTGTGTGTGTGTGTGTGTGTGTGTGTGTGTGTGTGTGTGTGTGTGTGTGTGTGTGTGTGATAATAATAATAATAATAATAATAATAATAATAATAATAATAATAATAATAATAATAATAATAATAATAATAATAATAATAATAATAATAATAATAATAATAATAATAATAATAATAATAATAATAATAATAATAATAATAATAATAATAATAATAATAATAATAATAATAATATATAATAATAATAATAATAATAATAATAATAATAATAATAATAATAATAATAATAATAATAATAATAATAATAATAATAATAATAATAATAATAATAATAATAATAATATATAATAATAATAATAATAATAATAATAATAATAATAATAATAATATATAATAATAATAATAATAATAATAATAATAATAATAATAATAATAATAATAATAATAATAATAATAATAATAATAATAATAATAATAATAATAATAATAATAATAATAATAATAATAATAATAATAATAATAATAATAATAATAATAATAATAATAATAATAATAATAATAATAATAATAATAATAATAATAATAATAATAATAATAATAATAATAATATATAATAATAATAATAATATGTAATAATAATAATAATAATAATAATAATAATAATAATAATAATAATAATAATAATAATAATAATAATAATAATATAATAATAATAATAATAATAATATGTAATAATAATAATAATATGTAATAATAATAATAATAATAATATTAATAATAATAATAATAATAATAATAATAATAATAATAATAATAATAATAATAATAATAATAATAATAATAATAATAATAATAATAATAATAATAATAATAATAATAATAATAATAATAATAATAATAATAATATATAATAATATTAATAATAATAATATTATGTAATAATAATAATAATAATAATAATAATAATAATAATAATAATATAATAATAATATGTATATAATAATAATAATAATAATAATATGTAATATGTAATAATAATAATGTATATGTAATAATATAGTATATGTAATATGTGTGTGTGTGTGTGTGTGTGTGTGTGTGTGTGTGTGTGTGTGTGTGTGTGTGTGTGTGTGTGTGTGTGTGTGTGTGTGTGTGTGTGTGTGTGTGTGTGTGTGTGTGTGTGTGTGTGTGTGTGTGTGTGTGTGTGTGTGTGTGTGTGTGTCTCTCTCTTCCCGTGTTCAAAACGGCCCAATTCTCCGGCGCCCTGGGGAATCGACCCTCCTCTTTCCTATGGCGTTCTCAGAATTCCGATAAAATACAAGTTTACAAAGTTAAAGCCGGTTTTATGCATTTTTCACATGTTTCACATCACATGAAACCAGCCCTTCCTCTAATACTTGACGGCGGAAGCTAACGGCAAGCGTGCATCATAGTTATTGGGAGCCCGGGCGTGTCCAGGCAGCCGAAATTGGCGAGGCGATGTCTTCAACCAGCCATATATTCTTTCATTCACAATATTGTACGTTGAATGCTATGCGCTGGATTTTGATACGGAGAATCCGATGATGACCACGAAATCGGCTGAAAATTTTATTTTAGTTCTGTATAGAGAATTTTATTATTTAGTATGGAAACTTCTGCAACTTAGAACAAAAATGTTTACGAGCCGATTTTGCATAATTTTGCGCCGAAACTGGTACACTCAGTAAAATAACGATAAAGGCAGTGGTTTTTGTCGAATATCTCGGCGGTTTGTGCACTTATCGTGATGCAATTTTCAGAATAGGTTTCTGAAAAGTGCTAGGTCAGGGCTATAAGGTGGATGGGGTAGAACTTCCCAGCCAAGCTCCTGGATTTTCTCCTGGGTCAATTTCGCAACATGTGGACGGCATTGTCATGAAGCAAAATGATCTTCCCCTTTGTCGGGCGTTTTCTTTCAATTTCAGAGGCCAGTTTTTCGCGCTGGCTTGAGTAAAGTTGGGCATTGACAGTGGTTCCGGGATCCAGTAGTTCCCAATAGAGCGGGCCTTCGATATCCCACCAAATACAGAGCATTATCTTCTTTGGGTTGAGTTCGGGCTTCGGTCCTTGTTGCGCGGTTTCTCCCTACTGAACCCATTTTTATGGCGATGATAATTAATATATAGCAGCCACTTTTCATCGCCTGTCACAATATGAGGCAGAAAAGATTTGTGCTGGTAGCGCGACAGAAGAGCGAATGCAATAGAAAGTCGCTGCCACATCTGGGGGGTCGGTCAGTAAGTGCGGTACCCATTGCCCAAATTTGCTCACATAGCCAAGCGAATGAAGATGTCTAATGATTGACGTATGTGTGCACCCAAGTGCGTCGCCTAATTCACGGGTCGTCATTTTATTATCTCTTCTCAATAAATCGCGGAGGGCATTTTCATCGACCTCGCCCGGGCGTCCAGACCTTGGTTCTTCTTCGAGGCTATAGTCCCCACTTTTGAACCGTTTGTACCATTTGTACACCGTAGTCAGAGAAAGCGTATCCGGGCCATAGATCTTATTGATATCCTCATGAGTCATCGGGGCATTTACATCTTTTATGAAGTAGAAAAGACAGACGTGTTTGAGATGTCCCGGGGGTAGCTCAGCGGGTGCGCAGAAAGAAAATGCCAGTAGAAAAAAGAATATAGGTAGGATTCATTTGAGGTTTTCAGGGTTAGTAGTGAACACTCCCGACAACACGGGATGTTTACACCAGGGGGCTGGCTGGCGGGAAAACGCGGCAAAACAAGCCGAAAGATAAATTGCGCGAACCTTAGTTCCAACCTAATACTTTTCCCGCTTATAGGGTAGGATATGTTTTCACGAAATATATGATCGTGGGTGGTTAAATTTTTGAGGCGTCTTTTATGCATATAAACACCGTCTACGACCCTGATATCTCATGCTAGAATATCGCCTAAAGAAAACATATTCGTCTTATTGGTGAGTTTGGATGTCGGAGGAGTTTTTAACATGGTTTACAAAAAGTATTACTTTTTCGGCGGTCGATTTTTTGGTTTATGCCCTCGATGGTTAATGTTTAACGACCTGTGGTTAAAATTCAACCATGTCGTTAAAAGACCTTCCGCGGCTCACCAGACCTGTCTTGCTTGGCACCGTTTTTTTCGACCCTATTTTTTCCAAGCCAAATTTCAGAGCCAAATTGAACTAGGAAACTAAAATTTTTAAAATATCAAAATAATAGTGCCACCCTACTAATTCGACCATGCTCTTTCAGATGACGTCAAAAAAACAGGATCAAAAAACCGTACAAAGCCTTGTTTGGGTGACCCGCGGGCGGCCTTTTAACAGTTTTAATTATGGGCAGTATTCTGTAAAATGAATTAGTTAGATGGTCCCGCAACCAGTCTATCGCCTGCGTAAAGGGGAAACGGTGATAAGGCTCTTCTGCACCACATTTTATCGAAAAACCCAGAAATCATCCAACACACAAGGAATGCAAATATCTGGCGATATGTGTGTTGCTTCGGGTCTTCTGGGCGCGGGGGTCGGCAGGCAGAGCGTGGTCGTGGCAGTTGTAGTCTCTGCAAACAAGGTTGATTGAAACCGCGCCTAGAGCGCCTAGGAATGGGATTCGCTCGACCCCTAACTTCGGGTTGAAAGTTAGCTCATCTTGTAGAGCTCGTCGAGACGAATCGGTCAGCCATAAAAACTATGTGCAGCCGAATTTCACGCACACGCAGAGGTTGGAATTTCGAAAAACGCTTGCGGCTATCCCCGGGTAATCGACTACGGAGAACACGATGCCGTTGTCCGATTTTCCTGCCGAGGCTTGTGGACTATGGAATCACCGGTCAAACGGCCGATCAACTATAATAAAAAGGTTGTGGTCTCTGTGTATCTGTCCGAAGCCGAATTCAACTCGAAGGGGAAAGGAGCTAGACCTTAGGTCTTTTCGGATTCCGATAGCGCGCCGTCCGAAACCCCCAAACTGATAAAAAAATGAAAAAGTTTTAGTTTAAATTATTAAAATTAACTTTGAAAGTTTTTCCTTAGTAAAAGGGGTGGGGGATGGAGGTTGGGGTGATTTTGGACATAGTGAGCCAGGTGGCGCGTATTTCGGCGAGGGGTAGGGAGCGCAGTGGGGTAGCCCGAAGTCCAGTTCCAGTAGTTCGGCGAAGCCGCGGTAAGCGGCTGGTTGGTTGATAATAGAGTGGCGCTTAATCAAATCAGATTTGAATAAGATTCAAATTATTCAAATCAAGCCGATTCAAATCAAGCCGATTTGATTTGAATTGGGGCCGATCAAATCAAATCAAATCGATTTGATTTGAAGTTGTTTTTTTCGCACTCAAATTCGCTAATTCAAATCAAATCCAATTTGAAGCCGATTTGATTTGAATAAGCGCAACTCTAGTTGATAATACGTCTAGCAATAAAATAAAAACTTTTTCTACAATTTTATTTTCCGGTGTTTCAGCACCCATCGAGCAGCCAAACGGCTTATAAAATCCAAAAAATTTGGAAAATGTTTATAAAATCTCTTCCCTAACCCTTCAAGGTGATGCCCCTCCAGAATCAGGGAGTGCAAACCAAACTAGAACCAACACGAATGGCTTCTTCAACAATTTTCCCCCAAACCTTTCTTGAGCGTTTGACAGCCGATGGGTGGTAGGTCAGAAAAATGAAATATTCGAAAACGTATCAGTCGGTAAATTATATCAATCGATTCGTCTCGACGAGCTCTACAAGATGAGTTAAATTTTAACCCGAATTTATAGGCCGAGCGGGTACCATTCCCTACAGGGAAGGCTTTGTTGGAAGGCAAGAGACTTTAATACCCTATCTTTCTCTCACCAAGAAAGCTAGAGAAGTGGCAGGATCAGGATCATCGATGCAAGGAGCTGAAAGTGGATGGGAGTTAATAGTTTCATTTTCGAATTCTTACCACATTCCAATAGGAGAACGACGTGGCCGCAGATCCGTACCTGCATAGCGCGCCATAAAAACCCCGGGGGCAAACCTGCCCGATGGTGATCACACTAAAATCAGAGTTGCATCTCTCTAACAAGGAGTGTCCTTTTGGTGTCATCGGCAAAACGATTCGAGACCCAGCTCATTCGATAGAGAATTGAATTCTGAACAAGACTGTGTTGTTCATTTTTGCGGAATGGCTGCCCCTGATTTTATAGAATTAAAAAACCAAGCGCGAAACCTTAACAACTGGCTCCCCAGGCACCAATGTATGGGCGTCGCCGGCAGTTTTTTAATGTTATAAAATCAGGGGCAGCCATTCCGCAAAAATGAACAACACAGTCTTGTTCAGAATTCAATTCTCTATCGAATGAGCTGGGTCTCGAATCGTTTTGCCGATGACACCAAAAGGACACTCCTTGTAAGGCTAAAAAGAGTTTTTCAAAAAGTTGCTGGCTATTTAAAAGGCCATCCGAGAGTCACCCGAACAGTCCCCAATATGGCTTGTCACCGTTTTTAGACCCCGTGTTTCGATGCCATGTGAAAGAGGGGAAACTGCCAAAATGACGACAACCAAAATGCCGACAGCCAAAATGCCGACAGCCAGAATAGCGACAGCCAAAATAGCGACAGCCAAAATGACGACATGCAAAAATTTGATTTTTCCCAGCTATTATGGCTGTTTTTGCCTGTCGTCATTTTGAATGTCGTCATTTTGGCTGTCGTCATTTTGAATGTCGTCATTTTGGCCGGAAATCGTGAAAGAGCATGGTCGAATTAGTAGGGCTGCATAGTTTTGAATGTTTAAAAAGTTCCTTTTTGGCCGCCCTATCAGAATCTCTAAAAATCGGAATCTCTAAAAATCAGAATGTCTAAAAATCAGAATCTCTAAAATCAGAATCTCGAAATTTCGGAATCTCTAAATGTTGGAATCTCTAAATTTCGGAATCTCTAAATTTCGGAGTCTCTAATTTTTGGAATCTCTAAATTCCGGAATCTCTAATTTTTGGAATCCCTAATTTTCTTTGTTCAGAAACCCATACAGATTTTGGCGCAAACTGAAACTGAAATGCGCTTTTACCCAGAGTCGCCTCGGAAAACTTTTTCTGTGGTAGTTTTTTGCGCTGATCACAAAAAAAATTGAAACACAAAAATTGAAAACGTCTTTCTTATATCAAAAATAATTTTTGGGCTTTTTAGCCAACAGTTGTAACCAAGCACGGCAAAATAGCACTAGGGAAATGCGCCAAGTTTCGGTAACACCGGCATTTATGGCCATGTTCGAATCACTTGCGTGCGTGGCCGCGTTTTGGCCCTTGAGGCGTAGGCCCTGTTCGAAAGAATGATAACCGGGCATCAACTGAAAAAAGGTTTTCACAAATTCGTGGTTACGTTTTTCGTGATCAGCGCAAAAAACTACTCCAGAAAAAGTTTTCAGAGGTGTCTTTGGGTAAAAGCGCATTACAGTTTCAATTTGCGCCAAAACCTGTATGGGTTTCTGAACAAAGAAATTTAGAGATTCTGAAATTTAGAGTTTCCGAAATTTAGAGATTCCGAAATTTAGAGATTCTGACATTTAGAGATTCCGAAATTTAGAGATTCTGATTTTTAGAGATTCTCATTTTTAGAGATTCTGATTTTTAGAGATTCTCATTTTTAGAGATTCTGATTTTTAGAGATTCTGAAAGTTGACCTAATTTTTGGTGTTTCAATGGCCGTTCAAGTTGACAACCTCCAAAAACTATCTCGAAAACTACTTGACCAAATTTGCTGATAATTTGTGACAATACCTAATTTGGGGCGGGGATTATTTGCTAATACATTTCAAAGCATGAAAATGGCCGGAACATTGATATCTCGCGTACACAAATGAGTTTTTCAAGAATTACTATTTAATAGGAAGTCGTCGCCACTCTAGAAATATACTTAAAAGATGCGCAATTTAATGTTACATCGAATGATGTTTTTTTCAATTTGGCGACAGATCAACTTCAACGGCCATTTAAACACCAAAAATTAACTTTTTAAACATTCAAAACTATGCAGCCCTACTAATTCGACCATGCTCTTTCACGTGGGATTAAAAAACGGGGTCTAAAAAACTGTGACAAGCCTAGTTCGGCTCTCCGGCAAACGGCCTTTTAAAATCTGAATTAACCTGGAACCGTTCTAGATTACAGGTCTACAGGTTAATTTCAAGAAATTTTAAATAGATCACAATACAGAACAAAACTTCTCTGACGCCAGGCGATAGAGCGTCAAAAAATATACTAAGAGTTTTAATTACAACCCAAAATAATGTAAAATGAAATAGTTATGGCAAAAATAAGCAAAATCCGGATAGCCGTCCAAACACTATTTTTAATTGTGTAAATTTCAAGATTAATTTTTCGCAATTTTGGGCGAGGGGATAGGGCTATCGATAGTTGGGCTAAACATTTTTGGGACCTACCGGTTGGGTAAATAACACCCTTACAAAAATGTTTAACGCGAAGAAAGTAAGATCTGTATTAAGCTGCGCAGGCAAGCGCTTGACGGCCCTTTTCGACTGGTACAAAATATGTCAGCAACACGAAACAAAAATAGTTTTGACCGTCAGAAATTCCCCCCCCCCACTAACAGCCCAGCACCCGTGAGATTACCCACATGCGTTGACCCAGCGCTCGATCGCAGGCAAACTTGATGCGGTCCGGCAGTTTGCCTTTGTTTTCCCCGCGAAAGCTCAGCTTCATAGTTCCGCATTCCGGACACCTTGTGCGTGGGGCGGGGCTCGGCGCTTCACAAAGCAGGAAAGTCACCCCGAACCACTGGTCGAATCCCTGCAACAGGTTATTGGGGGGGGGGTGGGCGCAGGCGGAGGGAAGCTCACTGTGGTAAATTTTTCAATATATCACCAGGGTTGAAAAGTCGCGAAGCGCTTTTCAACCCTGGCCCCCCGTCTAAGCCCATAATATTTTTCATTTTGCATTCTTGCAGCATACGTCTCCATTCCGATGTGAATAATGAAAAATGTCACTCTCTAGCGCTTTATATAGGCTCCCGCCACTTCCGGCCTATGCAAATTGTTTCCTACCAAAGAGGGTTCCCGAATTTACAACGAAAACATAATTTTAATGTCGAAAACTACTGATTTTGTAAAATCTGATATACGCGCAGTCATCTCGTGGCCATTACGCACCTAATGGCGTATCATACGTAGACTAATACCGTTCCCTTCTTGAGATATCCTCCGGACAGCCTGACGGAAGTTGCATGCAAAGTGGCGCGCGCGCGCACACACACACACACACACACACACACACACACACACACTTTCTTCTTTTTTTATTTTTTTTTCATATATAGTATTTTTCATATATAGTAATATATATAGTAAACCTTTTTTTCATATATAGTAGGAATATTTTTGGGAACTACACCATCGCCACATCGCGACTAGTATTGGGAAATTAGCTCGGCTCGAAAACCGACCTTCCGGCGAAACCGAGCCGCTCGGTTCCACGGCTCGGAAAGGTGCTCTCGTATTAGCGGGGGAGCAAAGGGAATTTTTTAATTAATTTAAGAGCTGAGGACGGCATCTGTTGAACCCCCCTTTGGGGGGGGGGGTTTCCTAACAAGGGAAGGTTGTTTGGGTCAGGTGTCAAATCTTTCTGAAAATTTGCCAGTTGATAGAGAATTGAAAACGGAACCAGCTGCGCTAAGTCGTTTTCTGCACAATACCCCTAATTAAAAAGTCATAAGAATTTTAGGTTTGTGGTTTAAAAAATGAGTTCTGCGCAGACTCATACCGCACCGTTGCCAGATTTTCTTCATCGGTGGTTTCTTGACCCTCTCTCGTCTCCACTACCCACGTCTCTTGTAGCGCAATCGGCAGTGCGCTTCCCGCACGATTTTTTGAAAAATTTTTTGCAAAAGTTCGAGACTAAAACTTTTATCTTTTTGCTTTTGGCTTTTTGCTCCTGCAAATTAGGGTTAGTTGGCGTAAAATCCAAAAAGCAAAAAGTTAGACGCAACAAAAACTTGAACTCGCTTACAAAAATTTAAAAAGTTTCGTGGTAAGAGTCTAGTTTCCCCCAGCCTTAACTTTTCAACCATGCGTCCTATTAATGCGCCGAGTATCTCAAAATGTTCGCCGTGATCGAATTACTATAGCTAAGTTGTTTTCTTAAATAAAAAATTGTTAGAAAATTTTTTACAAGATTTTGAAAGTTGAAAAGATTAAGCCGTCTTGCTTCGATGTATCAGGAGCCTAAAACTCAAATATTTTTAGTTTTCGCTATTTTTTTGGGCACAAACGTACTGTAGGCTTATTTTCCAGAGCAAGAGCTACATTTTGGTACCATTGGCAGCTCTGTACGACTAAAGATAGTCGAGATACGAAAACTCACTTTGGAACAGCAAAAATTAACTAAAGAAAACCCAGACTTATAATTGTTATAAAATTTTTTCTAACAATTTTTGATGTAAGAAAACAACTTTTTTATAGTAATTCGACCACGGCGAACATTTTGAGATACCCGGCGCATTAATAGGACGCATGGTTGAAACGTTACGGCTGGGGGGGTAAACTAGACTTTAGCCAGTTTCGCACACCTCAGCACTACCTACTGCGCCAAACAGCTTGCCAGTCCGGGCGACGCGAGAGCTTGAAAGGGGGGAGGCCACAATGAGGACCAGGTCAGAATTGTCGGGTCGTTCGTGCTTTTTTATGTAACTTCAAAGGCCTACAACTTTTTAATTTGGGGTATTGTGCAAAAAAATGAGATTAAGAAACTCCACTTTATTTTTGATTTCTATCCACTGGAAAAGTTTCAAGTCGATTTGACGGTACTTGCGTATTCCCGGGGGGGAAATTCGCGGGGGAAACTTTTTTTGCCCACATCTCAAATTTTCCTTTATCTATTTTGCGAAAACGCGTTTCTATTCAGTATATTTGCCTCATAAAGTGTTTTCATATTGTTTTTAGCAAAATTTAAGCCTATTTGAATCGGAAAAACTTTTTTAAAAATTTAGAAAAAAGTCGAAAATTTGGTCATTTTTGGTCGAAAAAAATTAATTTTTCGACCTAAAATTAATTTTTTTTATGAAATTTTGTAAAGTTTTATGCCTAGGAATAGCTATAAACAGTTTAGAAACAATTCCAATATTTATATGAAAAATCTAGGCTTGGGCCGAAAAAAGTTCGGTTTCCCCCGCGAATCCCCCGGGAATACGCAAGTACCGATTTGACACCTGACCCAAACGACCTTCCCTTGTAAGTGTGAATTTGCGGCGGGCCGGCCGACCGATATTGCCATGTCTGGGTGTTTCTACCCTAGTAGGCACCTGAATCGTAAAAATCGGACACGACTGCGGCCCGCTAGGGAGGGGGTTTACTTGGGAACACCCCTTGCTAGGCCGTCCTCCTTTCAGCGTGCGCCGATACCTTGGTAAACTTCGCGGTGAGGTCTTCGTCGAAGACCGCCGTATCGCCCTCGAATGTCCCGTTCTTGTAGGTGGTCAGCAAAAGGGCCTCCAGTTGCTTGATATCGTCGTATCCACCGCGTTCCTCTTGGACTAAACAGCGAATTGGGTCCTGATTTGCATTTTTCGATCTGTTCGTTTGTTTCTCAGGATTTTTGCGGGACTATTCGATAGAGAATTGAAAAAATATATCGGGTGTGCCAAACTCCCCGCCCTGCCCCCGTACCTAGCGGTCCTTGGTTCTTGAGTATTCCGGGGGGCGGGAGAATTCGCGGGGAGGGAAACTCACTTTTTTCTGTTGGCCCTGGTGGGCATAGCATCAAATATAAAGTGTTTTCACATTGTTTTTAGCAAAATTTAAGCCTATTTTAATAGGAAAAACTTTTTAAGAAGTTAGAAAAATTCTTGAAAAAGTCAAAAAATTTGTCGTTTTTGGGTCGAAAAATTGATTTTTCGACCTAAAATAAAAATTTTTTAATTAAATTTTGTAAAGTTTGTATGCTTAGGAATAGCTATAAGCAATTTAGAAACACTTCCACTCTTTATATAAAAAATCTAGGCTTCGGCCGAAAAAAGGCCGAAGCCCCCCCCGCCGCGAATCGCCGGAGGCAGGGATGAAGTAATTAAAGTTAAACAATTCCCCACAGCATTTTACAGTAATTTTACTCAACAACAAACACAAATACATATACAAACGCTTTAAAAAAACGTTAAACCTTTAGAAAACGCTGACTTTTTGCACCCAAACGGATGACAAATTCCAGATTGGTCAGAATCTTCAGAATTATATTTCATAGAGAGTTTTGGTCACCGGCAACGAGCAAACAAACCTTACAAAACGATTCTTTAATTCATTACCATGCAAGCGGAGGCTTATTAAAAATTGCCTTGCGCCCCCCGCTAACACGGAAGCATCCAGATGCGGAATCCCCGTGTCCGATTCTATGGGAAACGAATTTTTTTCCTGGTGGTCCCGGTTGACCTAATAATCAAATATAAAGTGTTTTCGAATCGTTTTTAGTAAGTTTTAACTTTATTTAAAGCAGAAGAACTTTCAGGAAAATTTAGAAAATGTTTGAAAAAGTCGAAAATTTGGCCATCTTGGGTGGGTCATCCCCCCCGCGAATCCTAAAGGTTCTATAAAATTGTTAGACCTAATTTTTATTTTTTAAATTTTTTTTGGTTAAAATGTGTGTAGTTTTTAGGCTCAGCAATAGTTAAAAACAATTTAGAAACGCATCAGCAATTTATAAAAAAAATCTACGTCACTAGTCAGACAGGAGGACGGACAGACAACACAGTAGAATTATTATAGTTGATTGCAGCTTACTAGACAAGTAGATGGGGAACGTCTCCGCGGTGATCCAATTCGGCACCGCGCTGTACATCTTCATCGTCAGCGGCAACTAGGAATCATATGTTATGCAGGGTGACCCAAAGGTTAGAGTGCAGTTTACCCCCCCAGCCCTAACTTTTCAGCCATACGTCCTATTAATGCGCCGAGTATCTCAAAACGTTCGCCGTGGTCGAATTACTGTAAAAAAGTTGTTTACTTGCGGCAAAAATTGCTAAAAAAATTTTTACAAGATTTTGAAAGTTGAAAAGATTAAGCCGCTATGCATCGATGTACTAGAAGTCTAAAACTCAAATATTTTTAGTTTTCGCTATTTTTTTGGGCACAAACGTACTGTAGGCTTATTTTCCAGAGCAAGAGCTACATTTTGGTACCATTGGCAGCTCTGTACGACTAAAGATAGTCGAGATACGAAAACTCACTTTGGAACAGCAAAAATTAACTAAAGAAAACCCAGACTTATAATTGTTATAAAATTTTTTCTAACAATTTTTGATGTAAGAAAACAACTTTTTTATAGTAATTCGACCACGGCAAACATTTTGAGATACTCGGCGCATTAATAGGACGTATGGCTGAAAAGTTAGGGCTGGGGGGTAAACTGCACTTAAAAGGCCGTTTGCGGCAGGACCGAAATAGGCTTGGCACAGTTTTTTTCGACCCTGTTTTTTTGACGCCATCGGATAGAGCATGATCGAATTAGTGGGGTCATATAGTTTTGAAAGATTAAAAAGTTGATTTTTGGGGTTTAAGGGGCCGTTAAAGTTGCCGACATCGAAAACCTATCTCGAAAATTACCGGACCAAATTTGCTGAAATTTTGTGACAATACCTAATTTGGGATAGAGATCATTTCTCTAATACATTTTGAAAGCTGAAAATGGCTGGAACATAGGAATCTCGCGTACTAAAAACAGTTTTTTTAGATTTTCTACTTAATGGGAAATCGGCGGCATCCTGGAAATAGCATAGAAAGATGCGCCAAATTTTTCTACGTCGAATGATGTCTCTTTTAGGATGCCGCCGTTTTCCCATCATCCGTAAAAACGGCATTTTCTGGATGATAAAAAGAAAAATATCCAGATTTTCAAACGGGGGAGTCACCCGCTTGCTTCTAGAAGCGCAGCCAAGTCAATGGCAAAACAGAGCAAAAAGAAATTCGATTTCTAGAAGGGGGCTGGATTTGAACTCGGGTCGTTCGCCTGGGAGGTGGCGGCGCCGCTAGCCTCTGTCCCCAGAGCCCCCCCAGGTGGACCATCGCGGGTTCGATTCCCCTCCGTAGTCAACTTCGCGTAGATGAGGAATTTAATTTTGCTCTTTTTTGATAATGGGTGGCATTGATCTCTAGATGCTTTCCGCAATCCTTTATATTTCTCATTCGCAGCCCCCGATCTTCTAAGGCTACTTTTGTTGATTCCAGAGATCACGACTTTTATAGATGATGGGAAAACGGCGGCATCCTAAAAGACACATCATTCGACGTAGAAAAATTTGGCGCATCTTTCTATGCTATTTCCAGGATGCCGCCGATTTCCCATTAAATAGAAAATCTTAAAAACTGTTTTTAGTACGCTATATTCCTATGTTCCGGTCATTTTCAGGTTTTGAAATGTATTAGAGAAATGATCTCCATCCCAAATTAGGTATTGTCACAAGTTTTCAGCAAATTTGCTCCAGTAATTTTCGAGATGGATTTTCGATGTCGGCAACTTTAACGGCCATTTAAACCCCAAAAATCAACTTTTTAAACTTTCAAAACTATGCCACCCTACTAATTCGGCCACGCTCTTTCAGATGGCATCATAAAAATAGGGTCGAAAAAACCTGTGCCAAGCCATAATGGGAACAGTTCGAGTGACTGGCGGACGGCCTTTTAAGCCGGCATTTGGACGCCTCATATACGATCGGTCCTATATTTGGACCCGGGGGTGTATCAGACCCTAAATAACGGTAATCCTCAGTTATAACCCGTTAGTTACAGTAATTTCGAGAAATAACATCAATAAACTTTATACTGCGGTTTCCGACCAACGTCGACCCTAAAGATATTGAGTGAAAATGAAGCGATGGGCCTTCATTACCCCTAGAATGTTTTCGCTGCAAATCGACGCAAATAATAATATAGAAAATAGAAAAAGATAATCGCACATAGAAAACGGTTTTTTGGCTCTAGCTCGAGAACCACTGTTGCAATCCGGTTATAACTCAGGATTGTGGATATTTAGGATCTGATACACCTCTCGTCCAATTTTGGGATCGATCGGATGTGCAGAATGCAGGAAATGCGGGTGGGGCGCTTTTTTGGGGACACTCTGTGGGATCCTCAAACTTTGTGCTGTAATCTTCAGCTCGTCAGCAAAAAGCCCCATTGATAATAATAAGGCTAACTGCAAAGTGTTTTTACTCAAGTTGAAGTTTCGATTCGGGACCAAGTGTTACTTGTGCACAATTTTCGCTGTACACGAATCCGTTTTCCAAATTCGCTGCGGACTTTTATTTAAAAAGTCATTTTTGGTGCAAATTAAGCTTAAAAACGGCAAAAATTCGGATTCTGACCCGCTACTCCCTCCTTGGTCCTAGGACTCCCAGGTGTCCTGAAGTATGCTCTCACAGCCGCTGCCCAGTTGGCACCATGGTGCATTGGCAACGTACTCGCTTGACACGCGCAGGGCGGTGGTTCGAACCCCCGCCCTGCATCACTTTTTTGTTTTTTTTGCATGAAAAATCCAATTTCTTATAAAAAGCTTGTTTTGACCTTTTAGAGGCGGTTCTAACCAATGTATAGCCAATTTTGACGTTGAAATTGATCACGAAAATCGAAAACGAAAATGGCACCTGGGTTTTGCTGAAAAACACTGCGATAATTGCCGCATAACTTTGAAATAAAACTCCGCAGCAAATTTGGAAAACGGATTAGGAATCAGCGAAAAATTCGGCACAAGATAGACTTCGTCCCGGCTCGCAACTCCAACTTGAGTAAAAACACTTTACAGTAAAGTCTAGCCCCCCCCCTCCCTTGAGGAGCTGGGCTACAGTGATGGAGCAAACTACCAGATCGAATTAATGGAAAGGTGCTCACCACAGAGATGTAGAAGGAGGCCAAGAGGAGGATGGTGAGCAGGCGGACCATTGTCGACAGAGAAACAATATGATGTGTTTGCACCGGATTTGTTTCGGTTTTTATCTCCGGAAACCGTGAACCTGGTTTGATGCAAATTTCATATCGTTAATTTTTGATTGATTGTCATTTTGAATTGAGGGCACAATTTTTTAGGAATGACGCCTTTTAGGCAAGATGATAGGGATTCACCCCCCTCCCCGATAATGCAAAAGACCCTTAAATTGGTGTTGCTCTCTCACTCGCTCCCTCTCTCTCGCTCTCTATCTGACTCTCTCTCTCTCTCCCCTCTCTCTCTCTGTCCCTCCCTGTCTCTCTCTCTCTCTCTCTCTCTCTCTCTCTCTCTCCGACTTTCTCGCGGTCTCTCTCAAATCAATTCAGTCCCACGCAACGAATTTCCCCTTAAAAACTTCTTCGATACCCCCCATAGCCGAAATTTGATCCCGCACCCCGATTGATTTTTCAAAAACAAAACCGTGGGGGAAAGATGAAATGGCTCCGGTGAAGATTTTTACGAAACGCGCGCGACCTGGCTCACTATGTCCAAAATCGTGTAAAATTAATTTTACTCAGGCGCCGCTAGCAAAGTTAAATTTAATAATTCAGGTTTACGGTAAGGTTTACGGAGAAGACGCTCCGGTAATCTACTTTACACTACGGGACATCAGGCTATTGTGCGCCACGCCGCAGTAAGTAACACCACGCTGGAGTACGTTACGATACGCCACCACGCAACGAGACAGTACGCCACCGTTGGTATCCTAAAGTTTGAAAGATGCCGAATGGAGAGACACCGAAAAACAAAGAAAATGATGAAACATTTATTCCAAGCATGCACATAAAAATGACATCCATCTGGCGGGTCTCCTTGTATTGTCGGCCGTTAATTCCTCGCCGTTCATCGCTGTCCGGAAATCTGGGAACGTTGCGTACGGCAGTCGCGCGCCGCCCTGAAAAACGACATTTTTGGAAAGGGCATCTTTTTAAAAAAGTAAAATTACGCCTACGGTTTACCTTACCCCCCACCCCAGCCGGAATGTTTTGGCTATAACTTTTTTATTTTCCATCATTGTAGGCTCAAATTAAAAATCTTAGTATATTTTTCGACGCTCTATCAAATGGCGTTGCGAAAATACCGACAAAATATGCGAAAATACCAAAAACTTTGAGACCCTTCGGCTGTGGGGGGGTAGAGTAAACTTTCACCCAAATTACATTTGTTAACTTTAAAATGATAATATTCAATACCCCGTCAACAAAAATGTTTCAAAGATTTTATCATAAAATTTGTAGCTGGTTGGACTCAATTAAATAAGTTTCGAGAAGACAAAAAAACGATACCTTTTGCCGGAAAATCGCATGGCCGACTTGGCGTTTCCGGCGCCCTTCGTGTCCCCGGCCGCATCCTGAAAAGCGGAACGATGGCGCTTTTTCATTATCGGGGGGCATACAAAAGTAAATCATACTATTTACTATGTACTATGTTATTAGGCATTTCGTTTCTAAAAAATTCCCCCCCCCCCCCGTTGATGCAAAAGCACGGAAATTTTTACCGCTAATCGCCACAAACGCAACAACGTACACTGATGACAAAGGCGGGCCACATCTCGTCGGGGTTGAAACCGGTCAGCGTCACGTATTCCGGGTTTTTGCCCTGTAAAAAAGCGGGTACTGGACTGTTAACGGGGGGGAAGCTAATTTTCCTCAGTAATCTCGTACGGTCCTATAATGAAATATAGACCATTTTGACAGCATTTTAAACAGTTTTTCGATATAAACAGCTTATAAACAAATTATAACAATTCTCGAAAATTTTTGTCTTTGGTCAAAATGTATGAAAAAAGGTCAAAAATCTCGAATTTTTAAAATTTTAAAAATTATTTTAATGACATTTTAGTGTCAAAAACTTACTACAAACACTCTAAGAATGCATTATCAACTATAATAAAAAGGTAGGGGTGTCTGTCCGTCTGTCTGTCATGTCCCGGATTCAACTCGAAGGGGAAAGGAGCTAGAGCTTAGCTCTCTTCGGATTCGGATAGAGCGTGGTCAGAAACCCCCAAACTGATAAAAAAAGTATGAAAAAGTTTTAATTTAAATTATTAAAATTAACTTTGAAAGTGGCGCCTTAATAAAACGAGTGGGGGCTCCTCTCCCGGCTGGCCACGCCCCGTTCCCTTCGCCCCTTTTCACCAGGCCCTTTCCTCGGCCCAAATAGCTTCTTAAGTTACTTTAATACTTTTAATACTTTTTAGTTATGTTAATTTGTTATTTAAATCATTTAAAGTATCGGGATGGGTTCTTGAGTATTCCGGGGGGAAAGAATTCGCGGGGGAAACCGAACTTTTTTCGGCCTAAGCCTAGATTTTTTATATCAATAGTGGAAGTGTTTATAAATTGTTTATAGCTATTCCTAAGCATAAAACTTTACAAAATTTAATTAAAAAATTTTATTTTAGGTCGAAAAATCAATTTTTTCGACCCAAAAATGACAAAATTTTTGACTTTTTCAAGCGTTTTTCTAACTTTTAAAAAAGTTTTTCCTATTAAAATAGGCTTGAATTTTGCTAAAAACAATGTGAAAACACTTTATATTTGATTACTATGCCCACCAGGGCCAACAGAAAAAAAGTGCCCGAAAAAAACAGGAAAAAGGTTCCCCCCCGCGAATTCTTCCCCCTCCCCCCCGGGAATACTCAAGAACCTCGGGATGGAATCTAAGTAGTTCTTGAAGGGGATTTCGGCTGTGGGGGGTATCTGAAGCCATCAGGAGGGTATTTTAGTAGTTTTTGAAGGGGATTTCAGCCATGGGGGGTATCTGAAGCCATCAGGAAGGTATTTAGGTAGTCTTTGAAGGGGCTTTCAGCCATGGGGGGTATCTGAAGCCATCAGTGTAGGTATTGCCATGAAGGAGAGTAGCCCGAAGTCCAGCCGGTTACAGTCGCGAAGCAGCTGTAATCGGCTGGTATATTATACATATCCATAGAAATTAGTTACCCCCCCCGCTAACAGTCCAGAAACAAAAGCGTGGGGGATATGCAAATAAAATCGGGTGATCCGCTGGCACGCTCCCTTTTAAAGGGGGATCCCAAAAGGCAACCTCAATCTCCTTTTCGACGTCCTCCCTCTCGACGGTCACCTTCACCGGGTCGATCGCCTCACATTCCGCCTTGTGCCACGGGTAATTCTGAAAAGATTGGATGTGGATTTGGATGTGAAATCGGTCTTTAAAGAAACATTCAACGCCCAGCTTTTGATGAAAAAGCAAAAAGTTTCGCCGCGGCCGGGGGTCGAACCCGGACCTCGCGCGCGGTAAGCGAACACAAAACCAATGAGCCAACAGGCCGACGGCGGAGTGCAAGGACAGGATACAAAGGTGGGGCGCCGGCAAGGGGGGGGGGGGGTAAACTGAAATATTACCCCCTGCTATAGCGCGGATCGATGTTATAAAAAATTGGGAGGTCATTGTTGCTTTAAAGAACCATTGAAGTCAAGGATACGACTGACAATAGCGGCCTCGGCACTCTGCGTCCGTTCCGTCTTTATCTGGCGCTCATCCATTGGGGGCAGCGAGGGCTGCATCTGGGAAGCTTCCTGAAAATCCGGGCTAGCTGGCAGAGATTTTTTGGGACGGCCGGAAAGTCTGATTTGCCAGCTGGCACAGTCCCCTTAATAAATTGCGCAATACCTGTGTGCGATCATCCTTCTCCTTCCCTCCTGCTGCTCCTCCTCCACCTGCCGCTGCTCCCTTCGCGGGCATAGGTGTTGCGCCGGGATCGCCGGCCCCGATCGTGCCCGGCTTGGCCGGCTTCTTCGACTTGTTCACCGGCGTCGCCTTCGACTTTGGCTTCGACTTGGACTTTGACTTGGCCCTGAACCAAAAACGGTTGGTTAGAGTGCAGTTTACCCCCCAGCCCTAACTTTTCCGCCATACGTCCTATTAATGCGCCGAGTATCTAAAAATGTTCGCCGTGGTCGAATTACTATAAAAAAGTTGTTTTCATGCGGCAAAAATTGCTAAAAATTTTTTTACAAGATTTTGAAAGTTGAAAAGATTAAGCCGCTATGCTTCGATTTACTAGGAGTCTAAAACTCAAATATTTTTATTTTTCGCTATTTTTTTTCGGCTCAAACGTACTGCAGGCTTATTCTCCAGAGCAAGAGCTACATTTTGATATCATTGACAGCTCTGTACGTCAAGAGATAGCCGAGATACGAAAACTCACTTTGGAACAGCAAAAATTAACTAAAGAAAACCCAGATTTATAATTGTTATAAAAATTTTTCTAACAATTTTTGATGTAAGCAAACAATTTTTTTATAGTAATTCGACCACGGCGAACATTTTGAGATACTCGGCGCATTAATAGGACGTATGGCTGAAAAGTTAGGGCTAGGGGAAAGTGAAAACTGCACCTAAGCCAAACGGTTAAACGTCTGAATTCGGTTAGAATTCAGTTTACCGCCCCCCCCCCCCGCCCAGCCGGCACCCACCTACCGTATCTCAGCTCCCTGTTATCTACAGGTGTGTAAAGTATACCAAAATGTTCGTCTTGCTCTGGCCAGTATTTTGGTATACTGTACACACTTGTAGATTCACATGGAGCCGAGATACGGTAGGTGAATGTCGGCTGAGGGGTAAACTGCGCCACAGCCCTGAATTCGCCCACTTGGCGCCGGCCGATTTGCCCGCTTTGCCGCCCGATTTGCCGCCGGACTTGTTGCCCGACTTGCCGCGCGCCGACTTGTCCTTCTTCGACGGGTCGCCCTGCAAAAATGTTTCATCTTTTTAATGGGGTTTAAATCGAAAAAGACGGTTGAATTCTCTATACCTTTTTGCTCTTTTTCTTGCTCTTATCGGGATCGGGGCTGGGCTGCGTCGGCTGGCTGACCGGCATCGGGGAGACGGGCGATGGCTGCAAAATTCCGAGAGTTTTCGGATTTTAAAGACCTAGGGAAGGCAATTTTGGCCGAACTCCAGATAGCCGCGGGCCGTATCTCGGCTCGCTGTT